CGCCGGCGGAAAGGGACGCGTTCGTGCAGGACACGCTGCTGATCTTTCTGATGGATGGATCCTGGCCGCGATGGCTCGCAAGCGGCGCGCAGAGAGCGTCGTGGCCGACGCTGTTGGTCCTCGGTCTGGCCTCTCCCCCCCTGGACGGAAGGCGACGACGCGCGCCACCAGGCTGTCCACCTGCTCCGCTCCGCTCGACACCGAGGCGGCTCGATTCTCCCTCGGCTGAAGGCCCGGCGACTGCGGGAGGGACATGCTCCTGTCCTCCCTCGACTGGACGAGGGGCGGGCCCGGCAACGAGGCCGACCGCCTGCCGCGCGGGTCCACCCTGCCCGCGTCCTGGCCGCTCGCCACCACGTAGCTCAGCTTCTCCGGGTTCATCAGGATGGGGGAGCGGTCGTTGTAGCTGTCGAACGTTGGCGAGCTACCGTTGCTGCCCGCCTGGCTCCCGCTCTCCCCCCCGATCAGGGGTGTGCCCCTGTCCTGGCTGATCAACGGCGTGCACCGCTCCTCCTGGCCCCCGATGCTCCCGCTCCTGCTGCTCCCGCTACCCGACCCCTCCTCCTCGCTGCTGTTCACCTCGGTCAGGGTCGCCGCCACCCCCCCGCTGCCCTGCCCCGTCGACTTGATCATGGACGCGGACGTGGTCGTGACCAGGCCGAGCTGCGTCAATTGGGAGACGGTGACCGGGGTCAGGGTGACGGGGGCGACCAGGCCCGCGCTCGTCAACGTCGGGGAGAGGACCGCCTGCGCCAACGCCGCCGCCCCCGACTTCCCCGTCACCGGGGTCCCCTCCGCCTCTTGGATCGGGGAGAGCACCACCTGGACCACGGGCAGGTCGGTGGGGTAGTGGCCGTTGGCGGGTATCACCCCGACCACGCCGGCGCCGATGTTGGCCGCGTTCGTGGCCGACAACGCCAATCTCTGCTCCCGATCCACCACCTCCTTCGTCACGTCCGGGGTCGGGATGCGGGGACGGTTCTTCAACGAGACGGGCACCGTGTTCAGTTTCGTCATCGTACCTGGAAAGAAAGAAAAAAAAAGGAAAAGATCAGGGATTCCGTTCTCGGATCGTCGTCTCTTTCTTTCTTTTCTTTTTTTTTTTTTTTTTCTTTCTAAATCGAAGACGAAAAGATTTGGACGCGAATTACGCGAAACTTCCGCTAATTTAAAAGAATTCGACGAAAGGAGAAAGAGGCGCAAGGTCTCGGAGGAAAGTTTTCTTTTTTTTTTTTTTTTTTCTTTCTTCGAGAACCGCGATTCCGCAATTACGGAAATTGTTCCGATTACACAAGGTTACTCGTTGCGTAATCGCGCGCGCGCCACGCATCGAACGTTCGCGACACTTTCGTCGAAAGTTTTCTTTTTTTTTTTTTCCTCTCGCGACACTTTGGGGAACGCTATTCCTCGGTTATTCCAAGCTTAGGAAATATCCGTTATCGATCCCGTCGATATCCGATCGTTTTATTTTTCTTTTATTTGACGCGCGCTCTTTCTCGATTCTTCCTCGATCTCCACCCTTTTTTCCACGATTTTCTTTCGAACTTTGATTTCGCGGAGTGTAGTAGTAGTGTATCGTCGACCGATACGTAAACGTTAATTCATTCGAGTTACAGATCCTGTTAACGTACGAGCGTTACGTAAGATTGCATCATTACCGTTTAAATAGCATCAATCGAAATCAATCATCGATCGTTGTGTTACAATGAACGTTATTTCAAAACTATCGCGGCCGTACGATCGCGAGTAACCGCGTTTAATCGCGCGTTTATCCAGAAATTTCTTCTGGATAATACGTGTGTATATATATATACACTACTTTTTTTTTATTCGATTTCGATTAACCAAACTCGGGGGAGGGGAGGAACACTTGCCTTGTCGACCCATTCTTTGACTTCGTATACTTTTTCTCCCTACCAGCCGATCGTACAGGGACATCTTGAGATTGGGATTGTTGGTCTGTGGTAAACCTCCTGTCTCGGGGCTGCTGTAAACGCTGTTGTGACGATTTCTAGAGAAAAAACCACCGCCGCTGCTGTACGTGGTCGAAGAGCTACGCACGGATCCCATCCTGGTGATTTGCCTTTGTAGCCAATTTTTCCTTCGCTCGACCAACGGTGTGTCCACGCTTTCCTGCGAAGGAAGGAAAGGAAAAAGAAAAAAAAATAATAACGACAACAACGATAACGAAATTTCGTCGAAATTTTGCCCCCTTTCTCGAGAGGGGGAGAAGAAAGAGAAGGAAAAGGACGCGCGCGCGGCGACCACGTCGAGGGTTTCGTCGAGTTCGATGACGCGCACTTACGTAATCGGCGTACATGTCGTCCTGGTGGGTCTTTCGATGCTGCACGTGGTTGTGTATCTGCGTGCCCAGCATCACGTTCGCGTACAGAGCATCGCTGTCTTTCACCTTGTAATGCTCCGCCGAACCCTTCGGCTCCTCCCTTCGATACTGCTCGCTCGCCACCGTGTACGGTAGATCTTTCGGCACCACCTCGTCCCAATATTGATCTTTCAACAATTCCGGATGCTCCTCGTGCATTTCGTCCACGATCATGTATCCGGCCTGTTGCAAAGAGAAATAACAGGGAACGAATGAACAAATGCAACGAATATCTTGCGACGCGATACGATTTTCGAATTTCGATTTCAATTCGATTTCGCCAACGTTCGAGAGAGAGAGAGAGAGAGAGAATTTGTTGAAAAAAGTGGTATATGTATATATATGTATATATATACCTTGATGTGACGATCTATCAGCCAATTTAGCTCGATATCATCGTCGTCCTCGCCGAAAGGATTGATCAATACCTCGGCGACTTTCAACCAGCCCACGTAAAAGCAAAACTGAAACGAAACGGAAAACGGATAGAGGAAAACGTCACGAAATGCGTTGTACGAAATATCGTTTAAAACTCGTCGTAGGTATATCGATTCAATCGATCGAATGTGTTAATGGGGACCGAAAGCGAAGTATTTTTTTTTTTTTTTTTTTTTAAGAAACGATATTTCGTTCCACGGATATGAAATTTTTGCGAGTATCTTTTTCTTTTTTTCTCTTTTCTTTTTTCCTTTTTTTCTTTCTTTACCTGCAAAGCCGTGAAAAATGGGAAATACATGTCGGGCTCCTCGTATTTCCCGCCTCCGACGTCGGTTCGCTCGATAAATTGTCTGCCGAGCAAGGCGGAGAAGAAATACGCGTACAACGATAGCGTGACCAACCTAAAAAAAAAAAAAACGCAAATAAACGACGATCAAACTCGGCCGATCGTAACCGTTGAATGCCGTGACCCTAAAAACCACGTTATGTCGACGACTCTCGTAATTGGGAAAATAAAATTGTCATTAATTTCGCGATACAAAGAGGAAAATAAAAAATATAAACGACTTTCCATTACGATTCGTTAATTAAATTTACTCGGCGCGAGATTGCGGATTGGACAAGTAAATTAAACGACAGAAATTTATAGACAAGCATCGCTTGGTTGCATCACTTTGTTCGATTCTTGGAACGTGTGCACGCTCGTGTACACTTTCTGCGCGTACCGAGAAGGGACGGATAAAACCGATCGACACGAGGCGAGACGTATCGTCCCGACGTTCCTTCGCATCGCTATAAATATCAGCTTGTTTCAGAGCTACTTTCTTCTCTTCCCTTTATTTTCACACTTTTTTGCGCGAGATGCGCATTACATTGTTCGCGCGGAGCCAACGAGATGGAAGTACGCATTTAACGGCGATGATCGTAAGAAAAGAAGAAAATATCACGCGGATTCTCGAGTACGCGGAAAAATCATCGGGCGCGATCATCCCGACGAAACGGGACAAAGAGGTGAAACGTTCCCTGAACCATCGAACGCGGTGCGCATTAATTTTGAACGAAATCCGCTATCCATCCGTTTTCCCCATTACTTCTTTTTCTCCCTCCAAATACCTCCCCACGCGTACAAAAGTGACGTATACGAAACGCGCGAGCGAACAGGTTCGAACGAAAGCGTATCAAGGTTATCAAGAGCGCGCGCTACCTTTCTCATCGAAGGCCGCCAGGAAACGATGCTTTATGCAAAGCCTCCTTACCGCTCGATAACAGTAATAAGAAGAAGAAGAAGGAGGAGAGGAAGGAGAAGAAGAAGAAGAAGAAGCGATCGACGGTATCTTTATATATCTTCACGCTTCGATCAAATCCGAGGAGAATTGTTTCCTTCGTATCGATGACGCGACACATTATCGTCCTTGACCGTGCAACCGTGCTCTCTTGGATCGCGCGCGCCAACCTATCTGGAAACGTGTTTCGTACGATATTTCAACGCAGCTCCCTATTTCACGAGATCGCACTCTTTTCGCGAAACTGCTCGTCGCGGTTCCGTTTCGTCACGAAAACGAAAACACTAGGGGAGAATAATAATTGCCGACCGACTCTCATTCTCTTCCTGAACTCTTCCTCCTACTCCTCCTTCTCCTGCTCCTCCTCCTTATTTTCGCTAATTCGAAGCAATCCCACCGAGCATTTATCTCTCGCGAATCTCCGTAATGAAACGGCGTTTCCCTCGCCTCGCGATCGCGCTCCATTTTCCAACCGACTGATCGATAAATTGACGTCAAATTATCCATCGAGTTTCATTACCTATATATTTATATTTGTGTATGTGTGTGTGTGTGTGTGTGTATAATTTACGAGAAGAGACGCGAATAAGAAACGAAATTTATTTAACGATATGAGCGATCGATACTCGCGAAATTTCTTCGCTTTTGCTCGACGACGTTGATCGCTGTAAATTTATTACGTTATCCTTTGTAACACGTCCCACGGATGGATGACGCGATCTTGCTCGACGACCGA